TCTTTCATTTAAAATAAACCACTTTACACGTAAATAAGAGAACTAAATTATGTGTTAATTTTATTGATACTAAATAGTTTACTTATGTAATACTTAAACTATGAATCTCCAAAGATATCTGACATTTATCTTAATTAATGTCAATGATAAATTAATTTAAGTAATTAATCTTTAATTAAAATGTGGTTTTTTAGGGACTTAGAATATTTGCATTTATCATTTTAAAACTATTTAAAAGTGAGAAAGTGAAGATACATGCAAGGTAGGGAGAAGAAGTGAATAAAAGTGATCATAAAAATAGTTTTTATTTAAATTATATAAAAATTGGACGACTGTCTTCGTTCCAGGACAATATCATACAGATTTTTAAAAAAATATGTTTTGTATCAGAATTTAATATTTCTCCTTTAGTTATAAAATTTTTACTTGACTTGTTGATTAATTGATATAAATTACTGCGCATATAGAATTCATATATTTTATATAACAATAAAAATACATCTAATTCTTTATTTTGTTATAAATTAATTTTTAAGCCATGTTTTATCGTTAAATATTTTAAGTAAACAAAACCTACTAATAAAATTTAACATAACCATATTTTTGTTATGTTTTTAAATATAAAAATTTATTGTATTATTTAGTATTCTAATATTGTGAGTCTTATGATCAACAGATAGAATTTTTGCTCTGATTTCTAGCCAATCAATTATAAAATTGTTTTAAATTCATTTTTTTATTCCGTGATCAGTTTGTATAGAATTTTATTACTTAAATATACTGATTTCTTAAAATTTATATCTTTAGTATTATTTTTCATCATCATTATATCAATATATATTTAAACAATGAATTTCATCAAGTAGTCATATATCCTCAACTGAAAATTTAATCTCTACCATATTATTATTAATTTGATGTTCTTTAATTATAATAATGTAATACTTTTACAAAATCTCAGATATTTAAATATTGAATTTATTTTTTATATCTTTTATATATGTTTAAATCCTATTATTTAATAAATAAATTAAATATAATAAAATTAATAATTAATTAAAAAATGTTTCATAATTTACTTTAATATTTATTTTTAAAATGAATAGTATTTTTAACCCATAACACATGTTACAAGAAGAGAATCTTTTTAAAGCTATTAATACTGCAGATATAAAAGAATTAGAATGTATTTTAGAAATTATTGGTAAATTTAATTATAAAGAAACAATTGATGCTATTGTTTGTAATAAAAATACAGATTTAGCATGCATTTTGATTCTTTTAAAGCATTTCATAAATAACAAACTGTTTAATGAGTTTAATAGTCTTTTAAGTGGGATACTTACCATTTATAAATTACAACCTGAAAATCTTATACTTTTTCATAGATTAATTTTAACAACCAAAGAAATCACCACAACTGAGGAAGAATGCCATTTGATTATAAATTTGACAATGAAAATATCAAGGATGTTTTTTGAAGAGGAATATTTGCTTGAAAGTTTCCAGTCTCTAATGTTTATTGGTCAGTTGATACTCAAATGTAAGAAGTTTCCCAATAGGCAGACTGCTTTAGTATTCTATTCAACACTAAGTTCTATCTTTCTGAAGGGCAACTCTTTCTTTTTATTTCTTAATTGCATTCATAAAGTCATCCTATTGAGCGAAAAACCAATTGAGAATCATTTTTTAAAAGATTTCGTCAAGAATGCTATTTCATATTCTAAACTAAAAAATGAAGAAGAAAATGAAAGGGAGAGAGAAAAATATAAAGGATTTATACAATTAATCCCTTTGAAAGATTTGGAAGTATTTTTTGATGCTTGGGATGGTAAGATTGGATATGAATTTGATATTTTAAAATATTTTGATGAGAACTGGAAAAAGGTTATGAAAAATGAAAGTAGCAAAGAATTTTTAAACCAATTTAACTTTGATCCAATAACTTTAGAGTTAAAAAATATTACTTTTACTCAGAAGTTATTTTCAATCAGGGATTTCTATAGAAAGGTTAAAGAAGTAAAGGTCATACCAAAAGAAGAAGTTAAAAATGTTGTTAAAATAGAAGAAAAGAAAAAGAAGGAAATTAAAAAGAAAGAAAAAACTGTAAAGAAAGATCATTTTACTATGAAATATAATATATTTAGGTTAGGAATGAAGGAGAAGATAAAAAAATGCGATGATATTCATTTTGAAACAAGAAAAAATAATTATGAAGAAGAAATATGCAAGGCTAAGGAGAAACTTGAAGAAAAAAAAGCACTATTTATGATGTTAGATAGCACAGTATCTAACTTGATAGAAAAATTAGGAGAAAAAATTAAAAATCCAACAATAAAAGAACCGGATACTTTTAAACCTAGTGAAGACTTCTTTTCTTCGCCCAAATCAAATGTTTATGTACCATCATTCTTACAGAAGAAAGGTTCTTTTGTGACACCTAGAAAAGAAGAAGATGATAATAAGCATTGGTCTGAATGTGTGAAACCAACTATTTCCACAAATTATGATTCTGAGAAGGATTTAAAAAGAGATTCTAAATTGCCTAACAAATCTAAAGTTTATGATATTTCTCATTTAATGAAGGATTTAAATGTCAATAGCTATAAAGAAAAAAAGAGTTCTTTTACTTTTAAACCCAAAGAAAATAAAGAGAAAGATAAAAATACAGATAATGAAAAATGGTAGGCATTAATAAATTATTTTATTATTAGAGGTAAATATTATATTTTAACCATAAAACTTGTGTTTATTATAATCTTTAAATAAATTACAATCTATATATTGAGTGATGCTATTTTTTAATTAAAAATATTTAATTAATTTATTTCAACATAATATCATTAAATCGTAAAGAATAAATTTAAAGTGATTATGTAAGAAATGCAAAAAATATTTATTTTATTGTTAAAATAATAAATAAATATTTAAAAAGGAATTTAAAAATCACCCCAGGCGGGAATCGAACCCGCAACCTTTTGATTAGAAGTCAAACGCGCTAGCCAATTGCGCCACTGAGGTTGTTGATTTATATTTGACGTTATAAGATCTAATATAAATGAAGGCTTAATTTTTATTTCTTTCTTTAAGTAGAATTGGCGTAAATTTCATAGCAGGTGGTAAAACAAAAAAATTAATTTCAGAACCCCTTAAGTATATGGATTTAACCAGTTTACTGGTGTTATTTGTAAAAATAATAGCATTTTTCAGCTGTATGTTCATTAAATCATCTAATTCTATCAATATTCCTGTAATTGATGAACCGTTTTTCATGTCTAGAGATATTTTTAAATTAAGTGATTCGTATAATAATTTGAAAGGAATGGACTCAGACATTTAGGGAATTAATTTTTGTTTAAAATTTAAAAATAACTTTTGTCTGTATTTTTTTATATTTGAAGCATTTATTTTATATTGATTTATTAAAAGACTTATAATTTTTAATACATAAAATTTAAGAAATATTTAACAAAAAAAGAATTAATATATTAAACATTTTAAAGACAGGAAAGATAAAATATCATTATAAAATATTCATACTACAATTTTTTATTTACCACCAATTGGTAATTCATCTACTGGTATTGGTGTTTTTTCAAAATCAACGCTGAAATCAACCATTTTAACTTCTGAATCGGTACATAATATCATTAAATCGTAAAGAATAAATTTAAAGTGATTATGTAAGAAATGCAAAAAATATTTATTTTATGGTTAAAATAATAAATAAATATTTAAAAATCACCCCAGGCGGGAATCGAACCCGCAACCTTTTGATTAGAAGTCAAACGCGCTAGCCAATTGCGCCACTGAGGTTGTAGATTAGTGTTTGACGTTATAAGATCTAATATAAATGAAGGCTTAATTTTTATTTCTTTCCTTAAGTAGAATTGGCGTAAATTTCATAGCAGGTGGTAAAACAAAAAAATTAATTTCAGAACCCCTTAAATATATGGATTTAACCAGTTTACTAGTGCTATTTGTTAAAATAATAGCATTTTTCAGCTGTATGTTCATTAAATCATCTAATTCTATTAATATTCCTGTAATTGATGAACCGTTTTTCATGTCTAGAGATATTTTTAAATTAAGTGATTCGTATAATAATTTGAAAGGAATAGACTCAGACATTTAGGGAATTAATTTTTGCTTAAAATTTAAAAATAACTTTTGTCTGTATTTTTTTATATTTGAATCATTTATTTTATATTGATTTATTAAAAGACTTATAATATTTAATACATAAAATTTAAGAAATATTTAAACAAAAAAAGAATTAATATATTAAACATTTTAAAGACAGGAAAGATAAAATATCATTATAAAATATTCATACTACAATTTTTTATTTACCACCAATTGGTAATTCATCTACTGGTATTGGTGTTTTTTCAAAATCAACGCTGAAATCAACCATTTTAACTTCTGAATCGGTAATTTTTCCTCTGCCGATCAATTTCTTTAAAATGTGTTTATATGATTCTGTATGTTCTTTACCTCCAATAAGCTCATCTCCAAATTCATTAATAAATGATAATGCTGTTCCGTTAGTCCAACCAAATCCTGTCTGAGGGGCATATTCGCCACCTGCACCTGTGAAACCAGGTGTCTTTACGTTATACTTTTCATAAAAGTCTTTGTCATGTTTATAACCTTCAATTACTGATCTCATAAATGACTTTGCAACGTGTAAAGCCATTTTTCTTTCACCTATACTTAGCAAATAATCTACAAACAAATGTTGATGAGGCGCCCATGCATTAGGGAAGTCCCATTGTTGATGGGTTTCTGGACCATCACCACTTGCAGGTATACCACCTGGATAACCAAATAGCTCCATATGATACTTCTTAAGCACTTCATAAGGTGAGACATCATTAGGTGGATTGATTCCATAGATAAGGGGAAACACATTGCTGAAATAAAATCTGTGATTCACATATTTGTTTCTAACAAAATCATAATCCATCCAACTCTTTTCTTCTTCATTCCACAAAACTGTATTGATTGCTTCATATCTTTTCATTGCTTTATCACCAAATTCTTTTGATCTTGTCATATCCCCTTTATCAGCCAACAACTTTTCGATAATCCTTTCATTTCTATACATTAGTGCATTCAAATCAACTGGTATTTGGTTATAAGCATTAATAGTTCTTAAATCAGTTACCTTTGTTAACCATCTTGAAGAGAAATCCCAACCTGATTCGGCACCTGATTTTAAATTAGAATATACCTCTTCACCAGACATGTATTTCTGATTTTTATACGTTAGAACATCTTCTCCAAAGGATTCTGGCCTTGGGAAATCTGTCTTCACATGGTAGTAATTGAGATCATACATGTTGTTATCTTCATCACTAACTGTGATAGTTCTGTATTTATTAAAGAATTCATATTCCTTAATTGCCATGTCTAATCCTTCTCCTAAGATCAAACTGTTGTACTTTCCTCCCTTTATATTATAAAGCTTTAATAGCATAGATGGGAAGAATGGAGGATGTGATCTGAATAAGTAGTATTTTCTTAAGCCATTAGGAATGTATCCATATTTCTTAATCACATGGATAAAGTTTTTTATGATATTTTCTGCGGATTTGTCCATTTCACAGATGATCAGTCCTTCTAATATCCAATAAGTGTCCCAATAATAATATTCTCTAAATCTTCCCCCAGGAATGATAAATGGATGAGGGAGTTCTAGAAGTGTAGATCTCTCACCATTTTTAAAGCTAACGCTCTTTCTTGATAATTCTTTCCATTTAAATACAAGTGCTTTTGCAGTTTGTAACACGTCCTTATTTTTCAATGTCTTTAAGAATTCTGGATTTTCTTTCCAATCTTCAGGAACATGATCAGTGATGTCACTACCTACTTTTAGAAAGTTTTCAGCTAAAAACTTTTTAAGGATATCAATCTTGCTTAGATGTTTTTTTCTCAGACTTAGGACATCATAAGTAACCTTTTCCTCATCATAAATATTCTCTCCCACAACCTTATCTAAGTTAAGGTTTAATAATCTAACAACAGAATAGGAATTTAAATTTTTCATAGATGTAATTCCTAATTTTTCTTCAATTTTGCTAAATGCTTCTTTTACTTTATACAAGGGTTTATTTGTAGGTCTATCTACAAAGTCCTTGGAATCTACTTTAGGAAGTAAAAGTTGCACAGCTAATAGCATGTTTATATCGGTATAATCAGTTATATTATCAACTGAATCAGTCATACTTGTATTTATTTCCACCTTTGATGAAGATATTAGTGTAATAAAAAATAGCATATGATCATTTCTATCTTATATTTATACTTTTTTTCTGAAACAGATGTTTTAGAAAATGAATTTTTACTTGTGTTTCAAAGAATTAAATCAAAAATATGAATGACGTAAATGATATCTTTGTTTTTTATTTGTTAAAGTTTACTTTTTATTTGTTGTATAAAATTTTTAAATCTATGAATGATATTAAGTGACTTGTGATAAATTATCTTTTGTTATTATTTTTTAAATCATAAATTATTTTATATCAACAAAATTTAATCTTTTTTAAAAAGCTGTTTTTAAAATAAAAGATTTAAATATAATTCTAAATAATATAAGATTATAAACAAATATTCTCTCCTTTCTTTAAATATTATAACAACTTAGTTAAACATTAAATAAACTTAATAAGTTACTTCAATAACTTTGAAATATTTTATGTTAAAAATAAAGTTTTATGGGAATTAATATAAAAAAATAATTTCTATTTTATTATTTAAAATAATTTTGTAAATTTTATTAATATTTAGATAAAATTTCTTAGAATTATAAGAATTTAACATTGCAAATACTTAATAAAAACTTTCTCTTTTATTTTATTATTTTTTCTTTTTAATAATTTCTTATAATTTTGTAGTGATTTATTTAGATACCAAAAATACAAGTAATATTTGGCAGAAAGTAATAGAAAATCAAATATTGAAACGCAAATGAAAATATATTTAAAGTTTTAACAACTTAATCCTGCATTTAATAAATTCTCGATCATAAATAACCTAACAATGAAAGTACGCGGACTTTTTGGTAGGTAATTAAGTTTTAAATAATTTGATAAATCAAAAATAGGAAGTAAATATTTAAATCATAAAATATTTAAATAATTATACTATTGTATATAAATTAATTAGTTTAAATGATTAAATAATAAAATATTAAAGAAATATTAAAAAAATATTAAAAAATATTAAAAAAAAAATAATAAAAAAAAATAATAAAAAATATCAAAAAAATACTAAAAAAATACTAAAAAAAATATTAAAAAAATACTAAAAAAAAATAATAAAAAAATATTGAAAAATAACATTAAAATAAAAAATATATTATTAGATTAATATAAAACTTTTTTAAATTTGATAAATCTTATTTATCTATATAAATTGAAATTCAACGGAAAGCAATGTATTCTAAACTAAATATTTAATTATTTTTAATATTTTAAAATTTAATATGTGATTAAATCTCAAAATATTTTAATATTTAAATTAATCATAAATTAAAAATTAAAATATTTAAAATAATACAAAGTATAATTTTTATTTTAATGAATAAACATTTTTGAACTACTTTTAATTATTTTGTCTTTTGTTTAATGCATGGGTCATAAGTTCATTAAACAAACAGTGTGGTAAATTTGGTCTCGCATTAAATTCAGGATGGAATTGAACACCAATATGAAAATCATTAATTTTATAATCAAATATCTCCATTCTCTCAAGATTTTCACTTTTACCAACAAATTCAAATTTATGTTCTTCTAATTGGTTGACTACTTTGGTGTTTACTTCATATCTGTGTCTATGTCTTTCATGAATCATTTCATTTACTCCATACCACTCTTTAACTCTACAATCCTTTAAAATTGTTGGTTTGTTTCCTAACCTCATTGTTCCACCAAAGCTTTTCTGATTGTATTGATTTAAATAAACTATTACGTTATCATCATTCTTTATAAATTCTTCAGAATGAGCATCCTTCATTCCTAAAACATTTCTGCAGAATTCAACTACTGCCATCTGAAAACCAAGACATATTCCCAAGAATGGAATATTATTGATCCTTGCATATTGAATTGCATGGATTTTTCCTTCAACCCCTCTTGGCCCAAAGCCACCTGGGACTATAATGCAATCAGACCCACCCAGAAACTTCTCTGGATCATGAACTTCTAAATCTGAAGCTTCCACCCAATTAATGTTAGCCTCAATCTTTAAGAAGGCAGCAGAAAATTTGATTGCATTGTATAAAGACATGTAGCAATCATTGTTTGTAACATATTTACCAATGATACTAATCTTTAAGCAATTTTCATACTTTGATGACAATTGACCAAATCTTTCTTTTAAAGAGAAGCATAAATTTGTATTTGGTTTTAAATACTTGAGACACTCTTCTCCTTCTACAATGGTATTCTCTAATTGTTGTTCATTTCTTGCTAGTGAATTATAATGTCTTAAAATACTTTTCTTCCTCTCCTTGATTTTTAAATGATCTGTTATACTTTTAAATAGTCCTTGTTTATTTAACACTTCTGGTAAATCATAAACACTTTTTAGAGTGTAAGACTGGAAAATATCTTTTTTCTCGACCTCACAAAAGAGGCTTATTTTTTCTTTAATGGGTTCATCAATTGGAGACTCACATCTGCAAATGATGATGTCTGGCTTAATTCCTAAGCCTAAGCTTTTTTTAATGGAATTTTGCACTGGCTTTGTTTTAATTTCTTTGTTGCTGAGTTGTGGCAAAAATTCAACTGAAACAACCAAAAAATTGCTGC